TTTCAAAATTTTTTGCAACCGTGGACAGATACCTTTGGTATCAAATTTAACTCAAAATCAATTGGAGTATGCATAAATGAAATGGCAAATTTGGTACGCCTAGAAATACGCACTGCTGTAAGTAAGAAATACATTTGTTTGAAACTGGACATAGCTAGTAGAATGGAGAGAAGCATAATGGGCGTTAATATTCAATTCATTAACCAAAATTTTGAAGTTATAGTTTATACAGTAGGAATGGTCGAACTAAAAGAACGACATCACGCACAGTTTTTAAAACAGCAAGTATTAGACATTCTGGAAAAATACGGCATAAATATAAGAAACTTGACTGCAGAACATTTAGAAAATATTTTACTATTGAAGCTTAATCCTACACTTATTGAAAAAATTTCATGTTAAATATTAGAAAATTTTGCCAACATACATACGTATTATGTGGTAAAATCATTTTTATTTTGCCTTCTTGTTTGCTAAAATGAATATACGAATTAATTGTTGATGTTGAGTTTTTAAAATATTCACTGTATATACATATACATGTATTAACTTTTTGTTAAAAAAAGTTTTTTCTTTCAAATTTTTTTTTTATAGAACAAAAGAGTTTTGAACTTTTACGATAAATATTGTTTATTGTTTTTTTGTTATTTTGTATTTGAACTTATACAATTATATTTTGTTTTGAACTCATGTGTTTTTTATTTTTTAGATAGAAACTTAAAATTTTTTGTTTTTCGTTCTTAATTTCTCGTCTCTGGTTATAGGACACTTCATCAATGTACACTGGCCACATTGGAAGGTTATACATAATCATTGGGCGTGCTGATTGCATACCAGACGTAGAATATGTCGGAAACTTTGAAACGCTCATCCCATATGGAATGTCTTGGTCAAGGGGAACATTAGTAGAAATCCGTTGTTACATGGATGGCTTTACATTAGGGGGCAAAGTGGGCCTGAGGTTCTATATTGAAGACCCAGAAACAGAAATATACCACCGTTTACCTAATCATAACACAAGCTTCCAGGCAGAAGTACGAGCAATAACGGAATTGGATTAAAATAAATATGGCGCCCACAGGGCTTAATATGTATATTTGCCGAGAGCCAGAAGGTAATTAGAGCGATATCAGATGATATAATTAAATCTAAGACCGTATTGGATTGTAAGAAAGCTTTAACTGAATATTCTCCCAGAGGTAAGGTTTGCATCATGTGGGTACAAGGCCACTCGGGAGTAGTTGACAACGAAATGGCGTATGTAATAGCTTTAAAGGGAAGGGAGCTCGCGGTAGTTAACCTGACAAACGCGAAACCATTCGATGCAAGAAAAGCTGAATTAAAAATATGGATGATAGAATTCCATAAGGCCTCTTGGAATAATGAAACGGTGGGTAGAAGCACAAATATCCTATGGGGTGACTGTGATGAGAGCAAGGCGAGAAATCTCCTCAAAATAAGCAAGTCAGAGGTTAGTATGATGGTACGTATTCTGAGTGGACACACAGGATTACGAGCACATCTATACAAAATAGGACGTGCGGATTCACACGAATGTAGAGCATGTGGAGAGGACAGTGAAACTCTGGAGCACTTTCTTTGCCACTGTCAGGCATTCGCCGAAGTTAGATCCAAGCATCTTGGAAGTGATATTATTCTGGAAATAACATTCCTGGGTAACACTGATTGGAATATTCTTAGGAATTACGTCTAGGAAACTGAGTTTCTGAACATTGAACAAGTAAGAGTGTTATACTCGGCTGTCCCGAATCTTATATACCCACCATCAAATCGTTGCCATATAAAAAGACTTTGATATTTATGAATATTTTATTATCATATATCGACATTAATAAGAACGTTATACTATGTTTCCACTGGCTTGAAATCAACTAGATTTGCGTAAACTTGTTTTTGATATTCGAATTTTCGAACAAATCCCGTCATTTTATTTTGATATAACTACAGTAATGTTAATTTCCTTCAAATTTATACATTAAAAATACAAAATTACAGTTGTAAAAGTATAAATTTGTTTATTAAATACCACTAATTTTAAAATTATAATTTGTTTTGTTTTTATTTCGAAATGAAAAGTCACTTTTTCGATGAAAAACATTCAATTTGAATGGATAGTTGTATTTGCTTATCCTTGACACAACGCAGTGTTGCATAAGCAAATCTTATTCGAAAAAATACATTTTCGACATGTTTTAAATCAAATCTAGTAGGCAAATCTACACGATTTCAACTAGTTTTGCCCAAATCCATTAGATTTTCTCAAAACGCCTCAGTGGAAACATAGCATTAGGGTACTATTTGAACGAGGTCCATTAATGAGGGTTTAGCTATTGACAGTGCTTTTCCGAATTGAAAAATATATAAATTTTTAAAAACAAATCCAATTATTACAACCATAAACTGGTTTTTTGTAATAGGAGTTATATTCGTGGTAGGGTCAATTATGGACCTATCCTCATCTATTCATACAACAATTGTTTCGAATTTTATCGCTTTACTCGTATCTTATTTCATCCTCATAAAAATTGGTAGAGAGTTTTCGGTTCCTATAGAACTTATCAGTATCGAATTCCATTTCACTCACATTTTTAAGCCAGTAATGAGCGTTTTATGTCGAATTTCATAGATCTACTCGTATTTTTAAGCCAGTACTGAGTTTTAAATTCATTTTCTGAAGGGGACAAGTCATGTTTATATTGAATTTCATTGCTTTAGTCATTTTCTGAAGGGGACCTTATATGGGGGTAGGGACAATTATAGAGCGATACTCGCAAAATTTTGTAGAACTATCATGGTTCACCTTATATGGGGGGTAGGGTCAACAATGGTCCGATCCACATGAAACTTGATACAGAGATTTTGGCTCCATTGAGTTATGTGTATCGAATTTCATCACTATACTCGTATTTTTAAGCCAGTAATGAGCGTTACAGTCATTTTCTGAAGGTGTAGTGGTGTGTTGTGTCAGCTGTTTGTTTAAATAAACAAACAGACAACATAAAGACAAAAAGGAACAGAGCGGCCAGATTGCTAGCGGCGCTGGTATGCCCGCGTATTGTGCGGCTAAAGCTCGCCGGATGGGGTGGTTCTTGCCGGCAATCTGGACCACAAACACACACTAACACAAAAATTCATACCAGCATTTCGGGTATTATTAGAAAAGGGGCCAAAAGTAGTCCTGCATCTCCCTACGGTCATACCTATACACAATACGACCCTCCCTCTCGAGGATTCATCCTCGCCATGACGTCATCTTCCTCGACGTCCCAGATCTTCCCTGCAAACATTTAGTCACCCTACTTACCGCCGATTATTAGAAATTTACCACATCATATTAATGATAACAAACTTAAATTTTCATTTAAACATTATAAAGGTTTCTGTTTATTATAAAAAAAATTAACAATGTCTCATCGAAATTTAGAATTTGAGTTTTAGAAAAATTTTAAAATATTAGCAAATTTTCAATAATCCAACTTCAGATGATAATTATTAACAAATTAAGTTTTTAATAATTATGCAAATTTAGGTTTTAGCAAATTTAGTTTTTAGTTTTAAGATTTTAACAAACTTTAGTTTTTAAATTTTAACAAAATTTAGTTTTTAAGTTTTAACAAGATTTAGTTTTTAAGTTTTTAGCTTTTAGATTTTAAGATTTAATCAAATTTTAGTTTTAATTTTTATCAAATTATAGTTTTTAAGTTTTAGGTTTCAAATTTCATTTAAGTTTTTACTTCATTTAGAGTTTTTCTTCTTTTAATTCAAGATTTTCCCTTCTACTTTCAGGTTCCTCAACATGGACAGCTGGCAGGACTAACGCAAATGGACTATTGAGGAGAGCTGGTTTGCAGGTGTGGTTTTCTGTCCGTCCGTTTTATAGTCTGTTCGGGTATTTCAGGTAAGTAACAAAAAATATATATATTATAAGAACCTTTTAAATAATTTGGTTTTTTTTTTTCCTTTTTTTTTTTTTTTTTTTTGTATATACTGGTTTCCGGCAACCTATGAGTACAAATCTACCGCGACACTATTCATAAGTAGGCCTGAGCTCAATCCTAACCTTACGCGCACGCCTGGTTCAATTTCAACCAGCGGACTCGCTTCGAGCAACTAACCGTAAGGTTTGCCTATAAACGAATATATAGCTTTTATTTTTTTTGTTTACTAAATTTTTTTTATTTTTTTTTTATATATAGAAATTATCTAAAAGGACAGGTTCTGTCCGTCCTGTCGTTCGGGTAAGAGGTACACTTCTATGTCGAAAACCTTAATACCTGGGCACCATAGGACTGTTGGTGCGGATCTGCTAGAGTAGTCCCACGCTGGATGGAGCTGGCGATGGCGTGACTCAGGGTTGCTGCTTTAGTATTATGTTTCTCGCTTTATTTAGCTTTAAGATTGATTTAATTTAGTTTAAAACTTTTATGAATAAAAAAAGAATTATTTAATTTAAATGAAGATTTTTTTCTCTGACGGCCACGGGCTCCACCTTGGGCAGGGAAAAATGAAAAGACCGGCATTTTGGCTTTTAGGGACCGAGAAACCTCGGTAAACAAGATGGTTCCCTTCTATTTAATTTAATTTCAGCTATTCAGTCTTCTACAGTTTTTTTTTTCTGGCATAGTTTTGTTTTTGTTTATGTTTTCCAGCTGTCAAACTGTTTACTAATCTGCGTTGCCAACTTTTTATCTAACTTCTTCTTTTTTAAATTTTGCCCTACTACAGGGTGCACACGACAAACCGTACCATTCTGTAATCCATTTATGGATACAGAATGGGGTGGAAAAATTTGCGCCCTGAATTTATGAGTTACCCTAATTTTAAACATTTTCCTGGAATTTTGGGCATTTTTTTTATTCCTAACCAAAAAATTGCACTATGGCAACCCTTATTCATTAATGAATAAAAGTGCGATTCTGTACCGCCGTTAAAACTGGTCGTGCGGCGACGTACTCTGAATTTACTACACAGCTGTTTGAATGAAATGGAAGGGGAGGAGAGAGAATGCAAAAACGCATTCATTAATATTTTTCAATGGCGGTGATCAACAATGGTAAGTATTTGTTAATGAAATTTTTATTTTTGAATTTATTTATTTTTATTTAGAAATTTTACTGAAAAATTGTAACAAATTACTAATTTATAATATTTTATATTTTCTTTTCAGGAAAAGACGGAGGATGCTGCAGATTCTGGTGGAATATTGGTAAGTAAAAATGTATTTAATTCATTCAAGGTTAACAAAAATCCTTAATGCATTTTTTTTTGTTTGTTTCTTTCAGGAATGTGGCTACAGTTAGCTATTGGGTAGGTGCTGATGTAATTTCTGGAGTTGGACATGTGCAAGGTAAGTGACAATGAATTTTAAGTGTAAAATTTAAAATAAAGTGTTTTTTAAGTAAAAGTGCTATTAGGATTTTTTTTTTGGAAACTACAGTGTGTGTGAAAAGTGTGTGTAAAAAAAAAATTAAATAAAAGTGTTCTAAGTGAGTGTAATGTGTTATTGTGATTAAAAAAAATAAAATTTGGAAAATACAGTGAGTACAAAAAGTGCGCGGACGGACAATTAAAATAAAAAATTAATAAAACGCGAAAAATATTAGTACCGGTAAAAATTAACAAACTAAAAATTATTTTTCCAGAAATTACAGTGCGGGACAAAAGTGAAGTGTAAAACAAGATTAAAGTGAAAAATTAAGGAAAAATTAATTAGAACTATTGTGTAAAACAAAATTGTGTCTGTGAATAAAAATGGAATCTACAGTGTGCGACAAAAGTGAAATGAAATAAAAAAAATAAAAGTGAAAATAAAATTAAACTGTTGTGCGAATGAATTGTTGACGGTGAATAAAAAAAAAATAAAATAAAAACTAAAAACGGAATTTACAGTGACGATTAAAAGTGTGCGGGGTTAAAAAAAAATAAAAGTGAATAAAAATGAAAGTGAAACTGAAACTAAAGTGATGTTAAATTAAGCCGGTGTAAAACAAAAATAAAAGAATACAGTGAAAAACAAAAGTGTTGTGACACAATAAAAAAAAAAAATTATTCTATGGTGTTAAGTGAATATTCTGACCGTGTGTGTGAAGAAACTGTGTGGTGGTAACATAAAACTAATTTTGGAAAATACAGTGGCGGATAAAAGTGTGAGTTTTGAAACAAAATGTAAAGAAACTATTGTGGAAAAAAAAGTGAATTAAATAACGAAAACGGGTGTTCGCAAAAAGTGTGCTGTGAATAAATGCGTAGAAGAAAACTAAAACTCTCAAAATAAAAGTGAAAAACAATAAAAAATTTGAAAATCTTTAAAAATACCGTATTAATTCAGTTTTTTTGTAATTCATATGTTTTTTTTATATATTTTTTTTTTATTATTTTTTTTTTTTCTAATTTTTTTTTCTAATTTTTTTAACATTTTTTTTGTGTTTTTTTTTTAATATAATTTTACTAATTATGTGAATTCTCTATACTTTCAGATTAAACTTCTAGATGATCTTGAACTTCAAACTGGCCTTAGATTTCGTTTAGGATCCGTAAGTATAAAAATACAAGAAAATAAAATAATGTTACTTATTCTCCACTGTAACACAAGGACTAAGTCCACCAAAGCTCGTAGAGTAAACTATAGAGACTTTGGCTGGAAATACCCCTTGTAACTACATTAAACAAAAACTAAATTGAGTGCTTCCACTTTCTTTACAGAACACTAATCCAACACCTGAGGAAAGTGAAGTGGAAGATCGAGACCCTAGTGAAAGGTCAGGTAAGTCTCTTATTAGAGGGAGTTCGGTGGAAACGCAAGGACCAAAACCACCAAAGATTTCGGGCTGAAGCCTTAGATCTTTGGCGAGAAGTGCCCCTTGACATTTTCATTTAAAACTAAAATTCTACACTAATAGAAATAAGAGTGTTAGGTTATAAAATTTTCTAAAAGAGAATCCTAATAAACATTTTCATAAGACAATTCATAACTATTCTTTTAGAAAATTTTATTGCTAACTTTAAAATAATAAAAAACTAAAGTTTCGTTTCCCTACAGGTTATTAAGACTTCAAGTGTCCCTGAGAAGGACGAACTGAAGGGACGAAAACACCAATTAGAAGCCAAATTCAGTGTAATTCATGGGACTTGGCAAGTATTTATAATGCAATAATTAAAATTTTAAATTCATTACTATTTGAAACCCTACTAAAGTCCTTCGAACTTTTTCCAGGTTGCAACAACAAGAACAACAACAATAGAGAAGCAAATGCGAGCAGTGAAGCAGATAATCCGGGTGAGTGAATAGTTATAAAAGTAGTTGATATTAGAAAGTATATTAGGAAGACTGGACAGCTAGTTTAGGTAGCCTAAGTCGGACTCCATAGGAACCATATTTTCTTATAATACGTGCAGAATTCGGTAGTAATAACAAAATAAAGTTTAGAAAATCTATGAAACAAGGTCCTAAACTACTTGTTATTACTACTGACTTCAAATGAATTGTGTTTACTATAGTTACTGATTATATTCTGGACAAAACTGACGATTCTGTACTACAACTCATTTATATCTCAGCCAGTGACAATCTGCTTACGGAATGAACAACTACATGTTGGTCTTCCAATATGCATTGTCCCAATTGTTTCCTTTGGTATCGGCTCGCTGTAAGATCGGACTCAGATTTGCGTCATTGCCCTAGGTGACTAATAACCCTTACGCCTTGAATGGCACGGTACCGGAAGGCTTTGATGGGGTTGCACCTTCTAATAGGGTAATGACCGGTTACACATGTAATCAGCTAAGAAATGTTGGCCTTAAGTCGATCCAAACAAATAATTACTCATTCCAAAGAAGCTATGGATCTCACTGGACTACGATATAAATGAAAGTTAGGTACAGATCTCAGTACTGCTCAGGACACAACAATAACTATACCAAACAGAAATTCACTGCAAATTAGAAAAAGAAATATACAGATTAATATGAAGACTCAACAGAAAGTATTTAGGCACACTTTAGGTGACTAGTAGACGCTGCACAGTGGTATAGGAAAAAAAAAAGAGGGAAATAATTCGGTAACTTCTAAACGGTTAATCCGATTTTAATGAAATTTGGTGTGCACAAAGAGGAGGTGTTGTCGAGTTTAGGTTTTGAATTTGGACCTTATAGGCCAACCAGGGGCCCGGCGGGGGGTCCTCAAATTAGGACACCTCGGCTATGTTAAATTTTTAAAACGATCCTATTTCTTTATTTGAGTTCCGATTTAAAAATAGAATCTCCTCATCGAGCACTATAAAAAATGTCGTCGTAGCAGTAAATTATCTCTTATAGTTTAGGAGATATTCGCATTTGAATATTAAAATTTTAAAATTTTTACCGTCCTTACTTTAGTTTTTTTGATAATAGCAGGTCCAAATATTTCCGATTTTCGCCATTTTTTTTTATTTGCTTAACAACAAGTTTATATACCAAGCAGTGAAAGAATTATGTAAAAATCATGACTGAGTCCAAAGTTATAGGCATTTAAATTTAAAAAATTAAAAAAAGGCGATTTTTTGTCATTTTTTTGGGAAAAAAGTATCTTTTTCTTTTTAAGTTATCTAAAAAGTTTCTAAGAAGATGTATATAGAATTTATACTTTTTGGAAAGCTGACTTTACATAAAATACGATAAATGAAACAAAACCTAAAAATTTTTGATACCGAGGGGACCAGGTCCATCCAAAAAAACCCTATTTTTTATGGAAAATTAAATTTTGAGCAAAAATTCTCAAATCGCATAGTCGATATCAAATTATAGTGACCTGTTTTATATGACCCAATAAGTTCTTAATCATTTTGTAACGGGTTTCGATAACCCCGCCCCTGGTATGGATATAATAGGCAAAAAACCAAAAAATCCCATTTTTGGGATTTTTTAAAACTTTTTTGGGAATTCCGGGATTTCTAATAAGAAAATTCGAAATTTTTATTTAATTTTGGATTTTGAGTAAAAAAATCTACCTAACTGTAAAATTTCATCAAAAAATATTCATAAATAAAATTTTTATTGCAATTTGAAAAATTTGTATCTTCGCAAAAACTGAATAAAAAACATTTTTTAATTTTTTTTTAAAAAAAGTATTCCGCGAATTTTTTAATTTTCAAAAATTATATACAGTTTTGAAAAATAGACAAAATTACCTTTCCATTGATATATAACATGCCTACCTAATGTTTTTTAAGTGACAAATTAATTAGGGAAAACTCAGCATCTTTTAGAAAATTTACCTAGCACTATTATTTTCATCCATATATGTAACAAATTTAAGAGTTAACCTTATGGATGAAAATAATAGTGCTAGGCAAATTTTCTAAAAGATGTTGAGTTTTCCCTAATTAATTTGTCACTTAAAAAACATTAGGTAGGCATGTTATATATCAATGGAAAGGTAATTTTGTCTATTTTTCAAAATTTTTGAAAATTAAAAAATTCGCGGAATACTTTTTTTAAAAAAAATTAAAAAATGTTTTTTATTCAGTTTTTGCGAAGATACAAATTTTTCAAATTGCAATAAAAATTTTATTTATGAATATTTTTTGATGAAATTTTACAGTTAGGTAGATTTTTTTACTCAAAATCCAAAATTAAATAAAAATTTCGAATTTTCTTATTAGAAATCCCGGAATTCCCAAAAAAGTTTTAAAAAATCCCAAAAATGGGATTTTTTGGTTTTTTGCCTATTATATCCATACCAGGGGCGGGGTTATCGAAACCCGTTACAAAATGATTAAGAACTTATTGGGTCATATAAAACAGGTCACTATAATTTGATATCGACTATGCGATTTGAGAATTTTTGCTCAAAATTTAATTTTCCATAAAAAATAGGGTTTTTTTGGATGGACCTGGTCCCCTCGGTATCAAAAATTTTTAGGTTTTGTTTCATTTATCGTATTTTATGTAAAGTCAGCTTTCCAAAAAGTATAAATTCTATATACATCTTCTTAGAAACTTTTTAGATAACTTAAAAAGAAAAAGATACTTTTTTCCCAAAAAAATGACAAAAAATCGCCTTTTTTTAATTTTTTAAATTTAAATGCCTATAACTTTGGACTCAGTCATGATTTTTACATAATTCTTTCACTGCTTGGTATATAAACTTGTTGTTAAGCAAATAAGCTATTATCAAAAAAACTAAAGTAAGGACGGTAAAAATTTTAAAATTTTAATATTCAAATGCGAATATCTCCTAAACTATAAGAGATAATTTACTGCTACGACGACATTTTTTATAGTGCTCGATGAGGAGATTCTATATACGAAATTTTTTTTAAATCGGAACTCAAATAAAGAAATAGGATCGTTTTAAAAATTTAACATAGCCGAGGTGTCCTAATTTGAGGACCCCCCGCCGGGCCCCTGGTTGGCCTATAAGGTCCAAATTCAAAACCTAAACTCGACAACACCTCCTCTTTGTGCACACCAAATTTCATTAAAATCGGATTAACCGTTTAGAAGTTACCGAATTATTTCCCTCTTTTTTTTTTCCTATACCACTGTGCGCTGTCAACCAGTAGATATTCAGGAAGAAATGTCAGGACTAGAACCACCAAAGATATTGAAGCTATTGCTTCAAATCTTTGGCGTGAAAAACCCCTAACGATTTCCCCTGAAAATCTTCGACCTCATATAAACTGTTTCCGACTGGTCGGACGATTCGGCATTTTAGAAATTTTCGGGCGAATTTGGCGTTGAAATTGTTTTTAAAATCGCTCTGCTGGAAGTTACGTCGGTAGACTTCTTGACCGGGTATGAATTTGACTGGACGACATCGCGTATTATACGATTTTTCGTTGCGAGCGTAGGCCTTATGTAGATTTTCGCGAATTCTCTGCCGTATCAAATCCAATCTATCAGCATTCGGAATGACGTTAGTTTCGGGATCGTTTAAGATTCTAAGTTTTCGTGCCAACTGGTATACACTACCATGGCCAATCATGTTCATTCCGAATAAGGCGAAATAAGGCGTAACTCCTATCGACGACTGCACGGAAGACCTTAAGGAAAACTCAATTTCGGACAAATGCTTGTCCCATTCTGTATGGTCTTCCTGCAGATACGACCTTACGGCTGCTAAAATGGACTGATTAACCCGCTCGGATGCATTAGCCTGCGGCGAGTGAGTTGCCGTTCTAACATGTCTGACACCGAAATTCTTTATCATATCCGCGAATTCTTTACTTACGAACTGCTTTCCATTGTCCGAAACGATTGTTTCCGGAGTTCCGAATTTATGAAAAATTTCCGAGATTAAAAATTTGACTACGTTTCTAGTATCGGCTTTCGGCAAAGCTTTAAGGAACACAAATTTAGTCAAGTGATCTAAGACAATGAAAATGCAGACGTTATTATTTTTAGACCGCGGGTACGGACCGAGAAAATCAATGAAAATTCTTTGAAATGGGTGTTCAGTCTGAACTTCGGCTCCCATCGGTGGTCTGAGCGTAGTATTCGCTGGCTTAGCTTCCTTGCAGGTTTGGCACATTCTTACGTAATTTCTGACTTGGACATTTTGATTTGGCCAGTAAAAATATTCTTTTACTCTATAAAGAGTCTTACCGACGCCTCCATGAGACGCTTGTGGGGAATCATGACATGCTTTTATGATGTCCTCTGTCAGATCTAGCGGTACCCATAACTTCCACGCGAAATCCTCATTCGTAGCTATACCGTCGTAAGGCTTAGTACGTTTGTAAACAAAACTATCGAAGACCTTTAAATCGGGCAATTGTTCGGCATTTTTCTCGACTGTGTCTATGAGGTTACGATAATCTTCTGACCGGAAAGAAACTGAAGTTAGGTCAATGAGTTTAGGTACGTTTAACGAGATTTCGTCCATATCATAGCGAGAGAGGGTATCGGGTACTACATTTTGCTTCCCCTGCCTGTGTTCAATCGTAAAATCGTACGATTGCAGATGTAGACTCCATCTAGCTAAACGACCTGTCAAATCCTTATGACTCATGAGCCACTTCAGACTACTATGGTCCGTAATGACGGTAAAAGGCATCAATTCTATGTAGGGCCTAAACTTCTTAATCGCCAAGACTACAGCTAAACACTCTCGTTCAGTTACAGAATAGTTTTTCTGCGCTGACGTTAGTTTGT